GGTTAATTGATATAGAACCAAGTGACAGATGTTGATACACTCGTTTGTGGTTAATTGATATAGAACCAAGTGACAGATGTTGATATACTTGTTTGTTGTTAATTGATACAGAACCAAGTGACAGATGTTGATACACTCGTTTGTGGTTAATTGATATAGAACCAAGTGACAGATGTTGATGTACTCGTTTGTTGTTAATTGATACAGAACCAAGTGACAGATGTTGATACACTCGTTTGTTGTTAATTGATATAGAACCAAGTGACAGATGTTGATATACTCTTCGTTGTTAATTGATACAGAACCAAGTGACAGATGTGGATATATTTGTTTGTTGTTAATTGATATAGAACCAAGTGACAGATGCGGATACACTTGTTCGTTGTTAATTGATAGCGAACCAAGTGACAGATGTGGATATATTTGTTTGTTGTTAATTGATATAGAACCAAGTGACAGATGCGGATACACTTGTTCGTTGTTAATTGATAGCGAACCAAGTGACAGATGTTGTTATACTCGTTTGTTGTTAATTGATAGAAGAAAGTATTTCTTAACTTCTTGTGACGCTTGTTGTATTTTTTTATTAATTCAAGATTCCCAGCAACATAGCATAGAAATATTCTATACATATACTTAGAGCTATAAAGACTATCAGATAAATAAAAACCAATTGAATGGCTTCTAACAAATCGAGTGTTTCTTTAAGTACAATAATACATCCTTTTCCTTTACATAAACTTTCTTTGTAAGGCTTCATTGATAATATTTTCAAATGTAAACCTGAAATACTTTGTTTGTTTTAACATTGTTACTGTCGTTGTTTTATCAACAATGAAACGAAATTGAATACTTCTGATTCTTTAAGGATGTTGCTGTTATTGTTGTGTGACCAATATAGACGAAAAGAAATATCAGTGTTTGTTTTAACAATATAAACAATACTTCTGCCATTATGATTTGGGGCATCTAAAAAAAAAAAGTTAAAATGATATTAGTCTTTTAACAATACTACTACTATTATATGAACAATGCAAGCAACAGCATAAAATCATTACAATTTAACAATGATGCTGCCACTGTTGTATGAACAATGTACACAACATCTCTTGACGGTATTAAAATTCGTTCCCAATACTTTGATTAGATAGATTAGTGTTTCAAAATAATTTATTTTAAGTTTTTATATGCTGAATATAAATATACTTGATATCATATAAAACTCAGTACAACATTAATTAGGTAATTTTACATTCAGTATACACAAACAACTGTCACGTGACTGAACTAGTCATCGAGGGCTTTGGTTCAGAGAGTACAAAATCAATGGGGAAACCACGTGGAACATTCCGGATATTGCTTGGTTGAGTCACGAGGCAAGAGCGAGACACCTGCAATCTCAATAATGATGAAATTAACTTCGTCATGTAGTGTGCTGCCCTCTATCATAAAATATTGGTTATATATCAGCTACAGTAATGACGTAATGTGCAAAATGTAGAATAAAAAACAGTACACTTGTATAGATTTATTTGTTTTCTATTACCACGTTTGAAATGTATGTCAATTTAACATAAACTGCGCATGTAATTAAAATATGAATGTACAAGAGCGTTTAAAAGTTGAAATAATTCATGAAAGAAACGTTTCTGGTTAAAAATAAAAAGGAAAACTGACTAATAAACACATTGATGCATTAACATAAAACTATTCTCTATTTCTAAGCAGATTTCAGTAACAAAATATTTCTCTCTCTCTGCTTGCTTGCTGGAAACTTTGAATATAAACTTCGTAAGTCACTGTATTGGCACGTTTCAAACGTGTGAATAAAGGTTCCCTAAAATATACACCACATTCATAAAGAAATCGTCATCGTTATTCTGTGTAGTGATTTTAGAGTAGGACTACTTTAATGTTAAACTAAGTTTCTACGTTCTTTTCCTGCCTCCGATTTAAACATACATTCCAGTTGGATGAGAAATAGTTGGCAACATTATTCCTCTCCACTTACTTGCTATTGGTC